CTCTTGGTATCTGCAGAAAGAATGAATAGTCACCGTGGTATGGCTGTCAGAGGATTCTCTGCACTGCCTGCCCTGTCCCCGGGTGTGGGGTTTCTTCCCCCGTGAAGCCCAGGGAGTGATAACTAGCAACAATAGCTAACACTGCCATAGTGTCGTCTGTCCCAGGCCCCAGGCTGACCCCTTCAGTCACCAGCTTCATTGTCACCACGTCCTCAGACGCGGGCATGGACAATCTCTCGTGCACAGTTGGAGCAGAGGCCCAGTGGCTCCAGGCAGTCTCCTCCAATGTCACAGGTTGCAGCAGAGAGAGGAGCTGAAGTCAAGCATGCCTGACCCAGAAGCTTCTGTGTAGTTAAGTGACCATCAGAGTTAGTCTGGGGCTGGGGCATGTGACTGAGGTGTCCTGACTCCCCAGTGTGGATAAAGAGGCTCCACCATGGCAGAGGCTGAAGATCTGAACGGTTCAGCCATCATCTCTGCTAAGCGATGGTTCTTTGGTCTTTGGATGGTTCGGGCCATGATGGTTTGTGGATACCATCAGGAGCCATGGAATGTCCAAGGTCACATGATCATAGACAGCTTCTCAACTGTGATGGAACCTGAAGTTAATGTTCCTTCCCTCCAGCCTTGACTTTGGGCATGCTGAGAGTTCAGTGCTCCATCAATGATGCCCTCTCTAGGAAAGGTGAGTGAACGGTGAGTCCCTTGTCCCTGACCAAGGCCATCCTTGTTTCTCGTGGAAGGTCTCCAGTTAGTGACAGTACCATCTGCCAGCATGAGCCTACAGTGAGGGGCATGACCTCCTGCTCCCCAGAGCATCTGTGGAGCAGAGGAAGGGGCAGGTCTCACCTGAGTCTCAAGGTCTCAACGGCTGTCCTGGGCTTCTCTCCTATCTGCTTCTGCCCCAGAGGAATCAGCCTCTTTTATAGAGTGGGAATTGGGAAACCTGATATTGGTTGATGGGCTTCGAGATAATTCCAATTTCTGCAATGTGGAAGTGTCATTCAGGGCTCTCCAAAGTAAATAATTGTCAATCTCGTTAACAGGTGAGTCAGTTAAGCTGTTCAGTCCACAAATTAAACAAGAAAATCTGAGATGGAGGCTTACTCAAGACTTCATGGTTTCATGCATGAGGCAGAGGCTGAAGACCCATGCACACATGGCTGGACGATCAGATTGTCAGTGCTGAAAGGAACAGAATGTCAGACCCCTCAGGAACCTTGACCTGGCTCTCACCTCCTGTGTGCTCTTGCCCCTGGTCCCATTCTTTTTCTACGGTTGGCAAACTCTTGTTCCCACAGTGTTAAGAGTCAAATCACATTTGCTCCCCCCCATCTTGAACTACTCCTCAGTTTCATTTGTGTGTGTGTACGAGGTGGATCTTTTGTTTTTCAAGCCCCTGGTACATCGCAATCATGTGCTTGTAGGTACTCATAAGATCTTGGGACAAAAAGGTCACTACTGTTTTCTTACAGAGGAGGAACCTGGGGCCTGGTTAGCACAAATGGTCCAGAGAGGAAGTGGTAGAGCTTGAAGTCAACTCGTTGGATAATGATGGCAAGGAACCAAGGCCAGGAGTGAACACTTGCCAGGCTCCAGCCTGTGCCAGGTCCATTCATCCTGGTAAGGTGGGGTTTGGGTTTCGTTAGTGAGAAACTGGGGCTTGAGTCTTCCCCACACTCCTCTTCAATTTGATTCCCACATTATACTTCCCACTTCTTGGTTCTGGAAACATCTTTCTGGGACCATCATGCAGCCTCCTGGTCTCCCCCTTAGCTCCACTACTTAGGACTATGAGGACTATTTTACAGAGGGAAAAACCAAGACAGGTATAGGCCAAGGCCTTGAATTGTGAGAACCACCAGGCCATGCGATAACACATGGGATTGCCTTGAAGTCACTATGAAGCCCAAGCTGGCCTTGTACTGATTCTCCTGCCTCAGACTCCTGAGCGCTGGGATGACAGGCATGCCCCTAGGCTGAGTCTGAGAGTAGGTCTTGCTACTAACCTTTGGGTAAATGGAGGCAGATAAGGCCTGGAAAAGAGCTGAGGTTGTGTATTCAGCTAATAGAAATCTTTAAAGTTAAGAGGTTGGGTATGGATTGTAGCAGAAAACAAGGCAGGTTGGGTCCTAGCTGTATACTGACCTGGGTGAGCCCCCTCCAGTTATAGAAACTTTTACCCTTTGTGTAAGATGGAGTCGGTGTCACACAGCTCAGGGCTACGAGGAGAACACACTTGCAGAGCGGTCTGCATCTGGTTTGGTAGCGTAGGCATCTATACGTTCCTCCCATTTACCCAACACCTGCTATTTCTGATGACATTTTGCTCAGTTACAGAAATGTCTTCATTTCCCTCTGAGGTCTCATTTCTGCTCCAGGGGCCTTACCTGTACTACGGTGCTTAGAGGAGGTTACCTTGTCCTTGGACTTGACTGGAAAAACAGACGCGTCGGACTACCTGGCTTCCTCAGATTTAGCATTTACCGTCTCCTCCTTGCCCAGACCCTCAGGCAAGACTATGGGGGTTGTTGGCTCAGCTGCCTGTCCCCACCTAAGCTCTCTGGTCCACCAGCTCTCTTTGAGACACTCACTGTCCTGGCCCTGGGCAGGGGTGTGAACACAGGCTCCCTTTGTCCCCCACTCAGCACGTCTGTGGAGTTTTCTGCGTCCATCCATGCTGAGTTCTGTCTTGCGGGGAGCGAGGCAGTGTGTGAAGCCTTTTGGGCCCCCTGGAGCTGTGTTCTCTTCAGTTCCTCTCGCATTCCTCCCACCCCCATTCCGGGATAGGGAACTGTCCAGTCTTGAGGGTGGACACTCTTGTTTTACACCCTTGTGTGTTTGCTTTCAGCTCTCTGCCCTGAGTTTTAAAAATCCCAGTTCAGGTAAACACACTAGGGTAGCATTCAGTAAAGGTGCTCTTTTTTTTCTGTGTGAACTTGTATGAATTCTCACCTAATATGGCTTTATGCGACCATCATAGCAGGGGCCAGGGCATTCGGTCTGAAACATTTCCCATCCATACTGCCCTTGGTATCCACCCATCCGCTCTCACTAACTGGGCCCAAACCGTAGACTTAGGAAACATAAAGTCCCTAATGCTGCTGGGATTGCTTCTTGAGGAATTCCATGGGCTGCGTGCTGGGCGTGCCAGCAGGGGAGCTCCTGAGCAGACACACCGCGGCAGGACTCACAGCTAATGTTCCAGACCCAGTTTTCCCTACCGGAGAAAGCACATGTCAGAAGCGACTCCCCCACTCCTTGCCCGATGGGTTGATGGGTCGTACTTCGGAGCCTATTCTGGTGGCATGCGTGAATTTTAAATTCTGCTTTGTTTTTTAAATTAACTACAAACAGAAGGATATAATTTACAGGGGCTTAAGAAAAACCTATCAGGGTGTTTCTTAAGAAAAATGTAGTGGGGTGGTGTAGAAGACACTCCAAAGGCCACTGAGTTAGAGCCCAGCCCACAAAGGCTCCATTTTTAAAGAGCATAGCGGAATTTTCTTGTTAAAAGGAAAGTCTATTCCAGGTCCATTCTCTAGAACTTGGGAGTAGGATACACGGGAGGCAAACTTGAGAAGGATTTCAGCTGATTGGAAAACCCAGAGGGCAGGAGGGGGTGGGGAAGGGAGGAAGGGAGAGAGGGAATTTGATGAGAAAATGGGTCTTCTCAGGAGTGTTAGCCACAGGCAAACTCCCCTTAAGACTGACCTCACCAGCATCAGGGACAAGCAGTGGCAAAGCCCTCTGAGGAGACACTGGGGACACTTGTCACAATCCTTTGGGGAGGGGGGAAGGTTCAGAAAGTCTGTGACCTGCCTGAGGTCACCTGGCTAGAGAAAGGTGACAACAGGCTGTCTTCATTTAGGGCTGTATTGTTTCAGTGCCTTTCAAGAACAAGTTTACAGAGTCTTCAGTTCTGAAGGAACTGGCCGTGTTCTCTGGAGACCTCCTATGGGCCGTGATGTCAGCGGGCGCAGAGTTCCAAATCTGACAGGGCTCCTCACCAACTGAATGATGCTGGGAGAAACGTTTCTCTCCTCATCCTTTTCTTTTTCTCTTTCTTTTCTGTTTCATTCATTTTTAAATTAAAAAATTGTGGTACTAACTCAAGCTGAAGGCTACTCCCTTTGTGGACTTTAGAATATGAGACATATCAATGCTAGCCATAGGGACCATGAGGGAAATCTCTAGAACATTTTCAAGGCTTGTCTTTGAGTTAGGTTACCTTACCTATAACATGGAGTTAACCACAAACACCTCCCAAGGCTGTGAGAGGTTAAAGTTTGGGGAAAGTGGTGTAAGCGCCAGCTACACAGCTGATTCAAAGGCTGCCTGGACACCAAAGGGCAAGGAAGGTTTAAGGCACCCAGAGGTAGGACCTGGACAAAAGTTCTGACTATTTGGGGATAAATGTCTGCTTTATTTACCCATCACTGCGGACCCCAAGAGCACCGGAGGGGTCCATAGTTAAACAAGGTGTTCTGGGAGCAAGCGTGGAAAGGCACTGACTCTGTGAACCTTGAAACGAAGACAGGATGGAGAACACCAAGGAAGTATCTTGATGGAGACCTTGAGACAACCCCGGAGGTGCCAGGAGGAATACAGACAAAAGCCATCCCCCAAGGAAGCGGGCAGTCTTTCGGCCTATCCCTCCTGTGTTTGCTCTTTGACTCAAGAGCAGGAAGAACCCTGTAAGCCAAAGGCTATCAAGTGGAATGTTCAGGAACATGGCGTTTAGAGTTGCAAATCCCCGGTGAAGCATTTCGGATTAGGGAGTTTGAATTGAAAGATGGAGGAGTTCTCTGGCCCTCTTCTCAGCTCTGAGCAGTTGAGACTTCCTTGTTTGAGCTTGTCAATCCTGAGTCTGAATTTCATCACATCCCCCATGAGTGGGAGGGAAGGCTAGAGGGGGGCTAGAAGGGAGGGAGGAAAGACCTGGGGGGTGGGGGTTCACAATTAAGAGTCTGAGTTTTGGAATCTTGCTGCCAGCGCGT